CCCCCCCCCCCCTCGCCAACCCACAGGTGCAGCTGCTTTGCGCCTTCGATGCGCGGCCCACGACCGACAAGCTCAGCCTCTTCCCATCGGCCTTTTCGGACGGCACCAGCGTCGGCCGGGCGTCCCCCCTGCGCGTGGGCGTCCTGCAGATCCCCGGCGAGGTGGTGGAGATCATGCAAGCCCTGCCGGCGGTGACCGAGCAGTCGCTGGTCATGTCGGTGTCCGGGCAGCTGGACCGGCGCAACCAGCTGCAAGTGTCCTCCAGCGTGAGCCTGGACCTGGAGAAGGAGCACATCGACGGCCGGACGGTGGTGGCCACCCTGGCTCCGGTGTCCTCCTTCGGGGTGAACTACATCCGGCACTTGACCCCGCGGACGAGCGCCGTGGCCACGGTGTCCTTCGGCACCAAGGCCAGCAGCCGGCTGGTGGTGACGCACCGGCTGCGTTTCGGCACGCGGTGCTCCTTCGGCCTGACGGCCACCACCACGCACGGGGCCCTGCTGTTCATCCCGCTGGCCAACTTCGAGTATGCCTTCTCCGACCGGTGGACCCTGCTGGGGTCGGTGTACCACCAGGCCACCCTGAGCGCGGTCTACTGCGATGACACCCCCCCGCCGGGGCACGTGCAGGTGGATGACCCGGAGAGCCCGGACTTCTTCGAGTCGCAAAGCGTCCGGACCAAGCTCGGCCCGGCGTCGGAGTTCTCGGCCGACCTGACCACCACCGGGCTGTCGGTGTCCTACCGGAACCGGCTGGACTCGCTGTCGGACCGGCCATCCGCCCGGGCGGACTCCATCCTCGGCCGGTCGCTGCTGGACATCGAGCGGTTCTGGCTGCGCGCCAAGGCCAGCCTCACGTCGGACACCGTCAGCATGACCCTCGGCCTGTCGTACCAGCTGAACCGGTCGTGGCGCTTCTTCACCGGGCTGACCCTGGACGCCAGCCAGGGTGTGCTGACGGAAATCCGCGCCAGCAGCGATCGCACGCGGCTGGCCTTCCCCATCCTGCTGAGCTCCAACCCGCTGTCGGTGATGGCCATCTCCCTGGGCGGGCTGCTGCCCATGGCCTTCGGGTATCTGCTGAAGCGCTTTGTCATCGACCCGCAGGCGGCTGCCCTGGCCCGGGAGAAGCTGCGCAATCACCGGCTTCGCATCAGCGACTGGACCAATGCCCAGCGCGTGGCCGCCATGGGGGCCGTGCGCCTGCTCCAGGCCCAGGCCGAGGAGAAGCGCCGCCAGGAGGCCAGCCACAAGGGTCTGGTCATCCTGGAGGCGTGGTATGGGCGTTTCGAGGATGGAGTCCCTCCGGGGGCTGGGTCCGGTGCCGCGGCTGCCGCTGCCATGGGCGCCGGCAGCGGGTCGTCTGCCTCGTGCGTTTTTGGGCCTCCGCCGCCCCGGGGGCGGGGCGGGGCACTCGTGCCCGCCCTGTTGCTTTTTTTCTTTGTTCTTGCTTTTGCCCCTTGTCCCTGCCTTTGTTCTGGCTCCTGCCCCCGGGGCCTGCTCTTGCTTCGGCTCTTTGCGTGCGCGCCTTCACTGACTCCCCGCCTGCCATCCTGCCTGCAGTTCCTACCTCGAGCAGCCGCTCACCTTCGACGTGACCATCCCCCTGCAGTTCCTGGTCACGGCTTCCGAGCTGCACCTTCAGTCCACCAGCAAGGCCGGCCTGTCCGGCTTCTACGACCCCTGCTTCGGCGAGCCGAAGAAGCTCTTCATCCGGTACCTGTACCGCGATCGGGAGCACCGCGTGGTCATCGACGATGGGCAGTCCCTGTCCCTGCCCAAGCGCAACCACGCCGTCAAGGAGAGTGGCTCCGCCTGATGCGCGTCATATGAGGGGCCGCCCGAGCGTGGCCCGGTCCTCTTCCTGCCTGTGTGCCCCTCCCTCCCCCTCGTCCTCTCGCCCTCCCTCCCGTCAGATGGGAGGAGTGCCAGGGGAGCGCGCCATCCTCTGTCCTTGAGTTCCTCTCCACGTGTGTGTGCGTGTGTGTGCGTGTGTGTGTGTGTGTGTGTGTGTTCGCGCGCGGGGCCCGGCCTCCCGGCCTCTCCATCCCCCTTCCCCCATGTCCCTGGAGATTGTGCCCGGGCGAAGGTTCCCCCTTCCCTGGTCGGAGGCCGGCCGGCCCCCCCCCCCCCCCTCTCCCTGCCATATGCATATACACATATACACATATCTCTTCCTCTCTACACATACGCCCTCCTCCCATGTACATACACACACCGACCGACATTTCCATGCTCGCCTCCCGCGTGTGGCCCTTTTCTCGCTGTGCGTGTTTTTTGTGCGTGTGCGTGTGTCCTTCTCGACTCGGCGCCCCTCTCGTCCAGCAAGGGCGACAGGCGGGCGGGGGGGGGGG